CAAGCAATGACTTGTTATCTTGATGTATTCTTTTTTTAACATTAGGCAATTTAGGCACAATTTGCACTGGGACATTGGAAAAATATAGCAAAAATTACCAGCAGGAACACAGCATACAGTCATGAAAGGTTACGACATTTCTGTATTTTAATACCACTTAATTTAAACACCACGTTGTTATACAAATGAGACAATAATGATTAAAGAGTTTAGAAAACAGCTAAAAAAAAACGCTGCACCAAAAAGAAAAAAAAGAAAAATGTTTGACCCCTAATGCACAGTGTTGCATTTTTGTTAAGGTTTTTTTTTTTTATTAATGCTTTCTAATGTTCAAAATATCAGGGCATGCAATCCATCACTAGCCATATAGAAATACAATTTAAATGAAATTATGTCAACTACGTACTTTGCAAATATATACATTTGTTCAAAAAGTGTTACAAATCGTGTCTGCCACCATTTTGTGTGACTTTAGAAAGTTAGCCGCAGTTAATATGCAAACCTTCCCATTAAAACTGTTGTAATAAACTACAAAGTGTCAGCTACTGTCATGCATGATATGTACCTATATTTAGAGAAAATTAAGTATTGTTTAACTGCTGTATGCATATGTTGCAATTCTGTTAGACCAGGGGTGCCCAACCCTGCTCCTGGCGATCGACTGTCCTGCAAAGTTCAGCTCCAACCCTAATCAAACACACCTGAAGCAACTAATTGGGGTCTTCAGGATCACTTAAACATTAAAGGCAGGTGTCTTTGATTAGAGTTGGAGCTAAACTTGCAGGACAGTCGATTGGCCGGAGGAGCTCATACATGGGGGAAGGGCAAATGAGACTGAACGAATGCAACTGTTAGAGCAGGGGTGCCCAACCCTGCTCCTGGCAATCGACTCTCCTGCAAAGTTCAGCTCCAACCCTAATCAAACACACCTGAAGCAACTAATTAGGGTATTTAGGATCACTTAAAAATTAAAGGCAGGTGTCTTTGATTAGAGTTGGAGCTAAACTTTGCAGGACAGTCGATCGCCAGGAGCAGGGTTGGGCACCCCTGTGTTAGACTGTGTCTCTGAGGGTTAATTAGGCCTTTGTATTTCACTGCAAAACTTGTGTTGGGCTTTCTCTAATGAAAATGAGTGACTGAGCTGAATTCAGTTCAGTTGCAATTCAGTATTCCTCTCCTGCCATTCATTCCAATTCAGCATCCTGTTAATCCACAGTGTAACTTATTATCAAGAGGAAACCAATGGTGCCCAACTCTGACTCTTCCGACCACTGACTTCAGCAGAAGATCTTAAACGTAGGCCCTACATTTTCTGGTCAGGCTCATGTGAGCTTCCAGCTGTCTGATGGTGTTCAGCAGCTCGGCTCTCGCTCCTCCTCTCTGCAGTGTGTATCCCAGCAGTGTGCAGGCGTACTGGGCAGCCCTGTTCAACCACAATTACAGAAAATCAGCACTGCATCAACAAGTATTACAACACTTACACTACCAGTCAAAAGGTTTTGAACAGTAAGATTTTTTATGTTGTTTTCGAGTTTTCTCTTCTGCTCACCAAGCCTGCATTTCTTTGATCCAAAATACAGCAAAAACAGAAAAATGTTTAGTTTTACTATGTAAATAACAGTTTTCTATTTGAATATATTTTAAACAAAGCTGAATTTTTAGCATGATTACTCCAGTCACATGATCCTTCAGAAATCATTCTGATTTGCTGCTCAAGAAACATTTATTATTATTATTATGATGTTGAAAACAGCCGAGTAGAATTTTTTCAGGTTTCTTTGATGAATAGAAAGCTCAGAAGAACAGCACTGATCTGAAACAGAAATCTTTTGTAGCATTATAAATGTCTTTATCATCACTTTTGATCAATTTAAAGCATCCTCGCTAAATAAAAGTATTCATTTCTATCATTTCTTTCCTTAAAAAAAATTACAAAATATATACCGACTCCAAGCTTTTGAATAGTATAGTGTATAGATAAATGCTGATCTTTGGATCTTTCTACTTTTCAAAGAATAATGAAAAAATTTACTCAACTGTTTTAAATATTATTAATATTTTAAACTATATTCAATTAGAAAGCAGCTATCTTAAATAGTACAAATATTTCACAGTATTACTGCTTTTGCTGTACTTTGCACCAAATAAATGCAGGCTTGGTGAGCAGAAGAGACTTCTTTAAGAAACATTATTGTTCAAAAACTTTGACTGCTAGTGTACATCCCTACAAAGGTCTGAAAATCGTTGCAATAAATCACAAAAACACACCACAGCATTAGTGCTCAAATGCCTGGTTACTTGACATTGTTTACTTGAAAATATGCTTTTATAGTTTTCAAGATTACAGTTTTATTCTGTATTTTTGGACCAAATAAATGCAGGCTTGGTGAGCAGAAGAGACTTCTTTAAAGGGGTCATATGATTCGATTTCAAGTGTCCCTTTCTCTTTGGAGTGTTACAAGCTGATTTAGATAAGATCCCTGAAGTTGCAAAGACTAAAGTCTCAAAACAAAAGAGATATTCTTTATCAAAGTTAAGACTCTGCCACGCCCCCCTAAAACAGCTCGTTCTAACACGCCCCCACATATCTACCTCACTATGTGGAAATAATAGCATAATGCGCCCAAATGTGCACACAAAGAAAGAAGGTGTGGTTTCAGTAACCGCAGTTAGTGTTGAAGCAGCATGTCAGGGAGACGCTGTGTGTTTCTAGGCGAAAGCAAAAGCACTTTATTTGGCCTTCCGGAAGTAGATGCATTTAGGAATCTTTAAGATTACTTACAACAGAACAGCAATGCATTTTATGGACGACCGTTTGGTGAACCTAGGAGAGGAGGTCATTCTGACTTTGCTATGACAATCTGGCGCTTCTGAATCAGCGACTGTTTTGTTATTAGTTTAAGTATTTGCTATTGACTGTTCAAATGCGGAGTTTTGCACATCGCGTGTGTGTGCGTGCGCCTTTCGCGCTTGAACTGATGGTAAAACTAATGACATTATTTACTGTCTTTACATTTATTTAGAAAGATGAAGCTGGTGATTATGGTAAGGGGCGTTACATTTCCGACGAGTGCTTGCGGTGTTCGGCCAATCACAATGCACTGGGTCAGTTTGAGAGAGGCGGGGCATAGAGGACCTACAATAATGTACAGTATTTGAAAAATAATGTGTTTTTTGAACATTAAAGCATGTCAACATATTCTGTTACACCAAATACACCAAATAATGATCTTTAAAAAAGCATCATATGGCCCCTTTAAAAAACATTATTGTTCAAAAACTTTGACTGCTAGTGTACATCCCTACAAAGGTCTGAAATTCGTTGCAATAAATCACAAAAACACACCACAGCATTAGTGCTCAAATGCCTGGTTACTTGACATTATGTTTACTTGAAAATCTGCTTTTATAACGAAAGCACCCCTTATGATATAACTATATGCATATTTTGAAAGTAGTAGGTGTTCATTGTGACATGGTACTGAATGGGTTTCATATCCATATATGATATTTGCATGATACTCAGAGGCATAGTAAACACTTGCGAGTAATACTGTGCTTTGTTGCTAGTATTTCTACTTGTGAAGTAACAGCTGGAGACAAAAACAGTATCAATGAGCACAACTTCCAATGCAACTCTCATGCAGTGAAGGAAGCTCGCTAGTGCAGATGTAGTGTAGTAAACACGCGGTGAGTGGGTGTTTGTGCACCTGAACACGCGCTCTTTGGCTTGACTCCGCGCGCTGAATCTCACCCACGACTCCATCGTAAACAACACACACACGCGCGCGCGCTGGGCCTAGCGTCCTTCACGCAGATTCACGCTGAACAGCTCCCCGTGAAGATCCTTGATGTTTTCGGAGAATACGTTACGCACTTTTGACTGTAGTCTGTGGCTGGAACTATGTGGCATGCTTGCTGTGTTGCACTTGGTGTTTTTGTCGCTTTGACACTTTAATCCATGGACGGTAGACGAAGAGGGACACGCTGTTCGCGTTTGGATAAATTGAAAGCGCATCGTGCAGTTTATATTGAGTAACAGTTTTGGCAGATGTGTTTAGCACGTTACGGAGACGGCACACAAATAACCTAAAAGTGTCCATTTATTTTATTAGAGGCTAGGTCAATTTAATATGTAACGACAAGAAAAGTTCAATGAACTTACTGTTAGTTTCTGGCGACTAACAATAAAAACAACCACCAGGGATCGCCAAATACATTTAAAGGTATACATTTAATATTGCTGATATACTTTACTGTCAAGTTTAATATTTCTTTCATAATCTCTAACATCAGTAAATCAGCCCACGTCCCAAATGATGACAGTGAGTGTGTCCTGCACAGTGAGGGTTTAGTCTAATTGAAATGATTGGGAGACAATCAGATAGAAACTATAAATACAGTTCTCAAACCATGTGAGGGAGATGGGACTAATACAGCTGCAGGTGAGAGACCCCATCATGCCCTTCCTCTCTGTGTGCCTCTCTCAGTGCTCGGACTGCTGTTTCTTATGGAAGGGGGCTTTAAGGCGGCTCCAGAAGGAATGGCTGCGCCGGGTTTTCCTCTCGCCGCCCCGCACCACCTCAGCCTCGTGCTGGCGGATCTGACGCACCAATGCAGCAAACACCTCGTCGATGTAATAGCGGAACGCCGCGGAGGTCTCAAAAAACGGGCACTGGAACTCCCCCGCCAGCTGCTTGCCCTCCTCCACAGACACCTGAACATGTGAAGACAAAACAAACAGCCCTTCAGTCTAAACGGCTTCATTTGAGCCTAGTATGTCTCCAACGTAACAACAAAAAAGAAAAAATGGCTCATTTTGACCTATACAATGTATTTTTGGCGATTGCTACAAATATACCCATGCTACTTCAGACTGGTTTTGTTCTTCAGGGTCACAAATATTGTATTTAATATAACTGATAATACCAATAAGAACAAAACAATACAAGGCTAAAAATAATAATAATAAAAAAGAATCAGACTATGCTGTAGATTGGTAAAGTGAATTTTATTTGAGAATCTCTGATAACAATAAATAAAGGAAAATATAGTAAGCCCATTCTGCTTCAAAATAAAATCTAATAATCACAAGAAAAACAATCCTGACCCTGTGTGAAAAGCAAACAATTTTGTTTTCAATCATAATCAGGTTGGTCAGCCTGTTAATGTGCTTAAAGGTGGACCTGAATATTGCTCAGCAAAATGTAATAAAAAGTCATTCATACAGTGTATTTTGCAACTAGTTCATACAGCTCAGTTACCATCAAACGCATCCTAGTTGATTGAATCTCACATGTCCAGGTCATATTTCAGGTCAAAATATAATAAATGATATTTAGTATATAATATTTTGATGTAAGAAGAGTGCATTTTTAGGAGCATTTTTGCATTATTTCCATGACAATAAAGCGACCCCACTGTTACCTTTGCATGACGGTTACAATTCTCCTTACTGTATAATGAAAAATATATTAAGTTGTAAAATACTACTGTATTACAGTAATGAGAGTCTAATCAAAAATTGTGCATAATTGTGAATTACAAACTCAAAAGTAAAACATCCCAGTATTTGGGGGGAAATGTGCTTCCAGTTATGAAAATATTTTGCAGTGCATCCCATCTTATTATTTATTTTAAATAATAATAATAATGATAATAACACACTTTTGGGGTGAAATGTGACCCGGACATGTTATCCACCCAGTTTTTAAAAAGAAGCTAAAGAACAGAGTTGCTGTTGAATTAACTACAATGGTTCACAGTACTCATTATACCGGCAGATTAATATTTTTACCATAAACCCTTGCCTATTTGCCCATCCTGCAACACCTCGCTTTCTTTTCCTTCTTTCTCCTCTGCACCACATGCTCTCTGGAACTCATTCGACCTTCATTTTATTCCAACTAGCAAATCCTTCTGCATTCCCATCCGTTAAAATATGAGGTACAACTTTCCCCCGGACATTCACCTTCACAAAGTCTAATTCAGTCCAAAAATAATAACTACTGTCAAGTTTAACATTTCTTTCTGAATCTCTAACATCAGTAAATCAGCCCACGTCCCAAATGATGACAGTGAGTGTGTCCTGCACAGTGAGGGTTTAGTCTAACTGAAATGATTGGGAGACAATCAGATAGAAACTATAAATACAGTTCTCAAACCATGTGAGGGAGATGGGACTAATACAGCTGCAGGTGAGAGATCCCATCATGCCCTTCCTCTCTGTGTGCCTCTCTCAGTGCTCGGACTGCTGTTTCTTATGGAAGGGGGCTTTAAGGCGGCTCCAGAAGGAATGGCTGCGCCGGGTTTTCCTCTCGCCGCCCCGCACCACCTCAGCCTCGTGCTGGCGGATCTGACGCACCAATGCAGCAAACACCTCGTCGATGTAATAGCGGAATGCCGCGGAGGTCTCAAAAAACGGGCACTGGAACTCCCCCGCCAGCTGTTTGCCCTCCTCCACAGACACCTGAACATGTGAAGACAAAACAAACAGCCCTTCAGTCTAAACGGTTTCATTTGAGCCTAGTATGTCTCCAACGTTAGTTAATGATTAGATATGTAAAAATAGTGGGTCATTCGTTTACATAGATTTATACACACAGTATATCCATGTATATGACGTTTCTGAAAGAAGTCTCTTAAGCTCACCAAAGCACCTGCATTTATTTAATCAAAAATACAGTTAAACTGTAGTATTATGAAATATTATTGAACATTTTAGTGTTTTATTTTAAATAACCTTTTTATTGTTTTATATATAGTTCTATAATTTAAAATATAAATTATAAAAAATTATAATAACTTAGGAAAAAATTATATTTTATAATTTATCATTTTTATGTGATGTAAAGCTGAATTTTCAGCATCATTGCTCAAATCTTCAGTATCATGTTTCTTCAGACATCATTCTATGCTGATTTGCTGCTCAAGATTTCTTATTTTCAATGTTGAAAACAGTTGTAACATTATAAAATGTCTTTTGTACCATTATAAATGTCTTTACTGTCACTTTTGATCAAATGAATGCATCGTTGCTGAATAAAAGTATTAATTTGATGGTTTGAAGGTTTGGTGGTGTTGGAGTTCTTCACGTTCTTCCGGGTTTGAAAGGTGATGAACTCCAATAGATGGTATTCTGGCTCGGTGGTGATTGGGAGAGTTTTCTCCCAGATGAAGGTGATGAGAAAAGAGCGCAGAGCTCGAGAGAGAGACGACAGCTGGAATCCAAGGATTTTTGGTGAATGAAACTTTGGGGTCCAGAAGAAAACTTCTAGCTCAGCATCCTCATCTTCTCAGAATCTAACAGAACTTTAGACTGAGCTGTATCGAGGCCTGCCAGGCCTCTGGGACTTAGCAACCAGAAGATGGGAAGGTGATGAGAGACAGGTGAAGAGACTAAAAGCACTGAAGTGAGGCCTTTTAAGTTCTGTGGAGGTCACACCTCTCGAGGGTCAAAGAGCCAATGGTGACTTGCACTTTTTGAAGGGAAAGTGTACGACTCTTTGTCTCCGAACATGGTCATTTGCATATGCAACTGGATTGGATTTTGATGCAAAGTCTACTAAAGATTCTTAGAATACTAATTTGTTGCATAAGTATCAACATATAATATAAACTCTCAATTAGATCATTCGAAGACGAATTCATAGAGACCAAACATGGTATAGGTAAGGTTACATTACATGAATGAGTGGTTCTATAAGCATGCATAAAACAGTATACAATAGTATAAGAATAGTAATAATATACACAATAACCTGAGGATATGTGATAGGAAGGTCAAAGAAAGGTTTGTCTGTGAATGAAATTCCATTTATATAGCATTGTGTGTCTTTCCTATGGGTAAATTAATTGAGAGTTGCTCTGCCCGCATTCCTTTGGGCAATAAAACCAGTGATATCAGCATTGGTTGTCATGGAACCAGAGGCCTGTTCTGCCTTTCTGAGGAGTTAGATGCATTTCGGGGGAAGGGTCTATAGACCCTCATAGTTGGCTTGTTGTTTGGGTGAGGGGGTGTTAGGGATTATTTGTTAAATATAACAAATAGTTGTGTGTCTGATTGGTCCAAATGCTACAAGTGTTTGAAGCTGATATGGGACACGGTTCTTGAAAAATACTAGTTAAGGTACAACGTACAAATATTTCCAAGAAACTGCACATATCCCAATGCACAGTGCAGCCTGTCTCTAAAGGAAAGTAACACAACTTTGAATGTGAACAGGCTGGCACATCCTTCAAAATCATGTTTACAGCCAATGATAACCTTTGCAAGAGAGGCCATCAAGAAGCCTACAGCGACTCTGTAGAAGTTACAGTTCTCCATGACAGAGATGAGAGAAACTGTCTGGCTGGTACTTAAGATTGAGAAGCTCCAGGAAGAGTCTGTTCTTCTCAGATGGCACAATGCTAGACTGTGTTTGGCTCATATCAAAGAAAGCACATCACAGTGAGACATCAGCCCTACGGTGAAGCACAGAGGTGGCAGCACTGTGCATTAGGGATTCGTCCCTGTGGCGGGGAATTGAGACATCATAAAGACAGAAGGAAAACGCTTGGAGATGAGAACAGAAAGAAGACCTTCAGGGCAATGACTTTGAAAAATTACTTAAAATCAAACTGTTTAAAGTCCTTGTCAAAATCCAAACCATGAGCCACCAAGAAGTGTGTCCCAGTCTGCTATATAGTGCTGCAGAGATGATGCTTTTTAGGACAAAACCCAGAAACAAGTTGTATTTGAGCATTTTTGTTTCCATCGTCCTGAAGTCAATGGGCTTTTTGAATGTGTTTTAGCATAAATGCCTGAAATAAGGTCTGTGGTGAACACGAACTCAAGAAATTTCAAACTTTTCAGGGTAACAGAGCTTATTTTCTGCAATGATCAAAAAGCCAATGGAAAAATCGGAGGGAATATGTCGAGGGAATCAGGGCGATGTTAATTTAAGGGTTGGCCTACAAAAATACATAATCATACCACTATATAAATGCTCAAATATCTGTCACATTATAGCTGTAGTATTTTGAACGGGATACACCATGGTTCCATTGCGTACCACGATATTATGCAATACAGTCTGAGGGGGGTGAATATTTCTGAGCTACATGGGTTTCAGGTAAAGCGTCTCACCTGTCTGAGATGGGCCAGGTCAGACTTGTTTCCCACCAGCACGACGGGGGTGTCGACGGTGCGCCGCACGCGGTAGATCAGCTGCTTGAAGTGGCGAGCCTCCTGGAAACTGCGGCGGTCCGTGATGGAGTATGAGATGATGAAACCTTCACCCGCTCGCATGTACTGATCACGCATGGCTGTGAACTCCGCCTGGTTTCAAACAAAGAGATCTTCTTTACAAACTCACCGTCTTGTTGTATCCTTGTACGTATCATGCAAAATTACGGGATTTATCAGATTTACATGGTCCTGGCAAGAGCAGGTAGGGCTGGACGCTAAAACGGTATCTTATCGAAACTGCGATAAAATTTATATTGTTAACAATTATGTTGGACATTTTTACTGGATATGGATTAATCTAACAGTCTATGACACAGCGGAAATAAAGGCGACGATTCAAAGTGCTTTACATAAAAGGAAGTAAAATAATCATAAAAAATAATCACAACAATAAAATAAAGCAATAAGCCCCAAGAAGCCATGGTTTACAGTGAATTTATAACAGCTTCGCGTCGTACCTAACAACGCCCCTTAGCTGTTATAAATTCACTAAACCACGGCTTCACGGGCTTATTGCTTTTATAAATTGGTCATTCCATAAATATAAAATAAAACAGAGCAAATAAAATGTAATGATATAAATAAAAACAGTATTCTTCCACCAAACAATGTAGTTCCTCAGAAACAGTAAAGTGGCTGCTGAGCAACACACAAAGTAAACAAAGGTGTATGTTTGTAGAGTAATTTACAACAGCTTCGAACGCGGCTCAGCCAATCAGAATCAAGGACCGGAACTCAGTGCATGTTTCTAATAAGTCTGCATGTTTGGCGTGTCTCTGTGTGAACGAATGCCGCAGTTTCGTCTTATACACAAATAGCCAACATGTGAGGCTCACTGATTTCTGCATTTTAATATATGAGGACATGAACACATGAACTTCAGTCTCCAGAGCTGCTCTGAGAGTCTCTTTACTTGGTTACACCGTTTAATTTGAGAAAAAACTACCGTCAAATACACACTGAAACTGAAAGTAAAACTATCGTCAAAATAAAAGTCTGGTTTAACTTTAAGAAATTATTAGAGAAATATACTACTACTGTATAGCCTAGTAACATATAATTCTCAAAGTAATAATAATAATATTTTTGAGGAATATCACACAGCCAAGGTATTTTTTCATCAGTTTATACAGTTCTGTTGTGCAGCATCTTGCTTGACAATAAAAATGCAATGTTTTTTTGTAAATTAATTTCATTTGATTACATTTTTAAATAATGATCAAACTGTTCAAGTTTTACTAATTCATTTCATTAGACAACATTTTTCAAACATGTGGAATTTCCTTCCCCATTAACAGTAGATGAATACTGCAATACATATCGATATTTATAGAACTATCATGATAATATTTTTGGCCATATTGCCCAGTCCTAAATGGATATAATTTTACACAAACAATGTTATTAAGCAATTTGACCACATTAGACTCTTGTTCAAGCACAATTTTACATATTGTGTCAATTTTAGCCTTGTGGCTATATTTCTGCCTGCATAAAAAACCATGAGATTAGTTTATACTGGTCAAAACTTAATCAACATCATACCACAGATGCATTATGAAACATTCCCTGAATGTTTCAACAATGTACCCAAATGAACCCTAAACACTACATTATTATACTGTAGGCCAATTTTCATTAAACTCGTGATGAGATGTATTTTATAACATCGCTGAGTGATCCAATGATGAAAAAGATGCTGATTCAGAGGGAGAAACATTGTGCCTGATGTGTTTGTGTCTTGTGAAGTGACAACCGCAAAGATAGACACAGAAAAAGAGAAGTGAGACACATTTGAGAATGACCTTCTTATAGTCTGCGATATAAAGTGTTAAGTTGAGCACCACAGTTTACCACAGACAGGTTTTTGCACTTCACTGTTTCTTGTTTTGTTTTCCATGTGTCCATCTTTATCACACCACCTCTACCGCCTACCTGTCCTGCTGTGTCCAAGATGTCCAGGTTTGCTGGCTCATCGTCTATGCGGATCTGTGTTTTATAGGCATCCTCTAAAAACAGAAAAACACATGCATGGAGGTTGATGAGAGGACACAACAACATTAAACAGCTTAACAGAAAAAAAGCCCTAAAATGGGAAGAGACATCAGTGTTATATTTAGGGCTATATTTAGTAAATACACACACTACCATTCATTATTTTTAAAGGATGCATTAAATTAAAAGACATTCAATTAAAATGTAAAGACTTTCAAAATGTTACAAAAGAAATTCTATTTCAAATAAATGCTGTACTTTTCACCTTTTTATTTATCAAAGAATCTTATCAAAAAATATCCCAGTTTTCATAAAAATATGAAGCAGCACAATTGTTTTCAACATTGATAATAATCATGTTTCTTGAGCAGCAAATCTGCACATTAGAATGATTTCTGGATCATGTGACACTGAAGACTGGAGTAATGATGCTGAAAATCCAGCTTTGATCACAGGAATAAATTACATTTTAAAATATATTACAATAGAAACCAGTTATTTTAAATTGCAATAATATTTTGCAATATTACTGTTTTACTGTATTTATGATCAAATAAATGCAGCCTTGGTTAGAATTAGACACTTCTTTAAAAAACTTTAACATATATTACAGACTCCAAACTTTAGAATGGTGTGTGAGACAGACACAACACCTGACAGTCTCAAGAAAAATCAATGAAAATAGATTAAACATGTAAGTACATAAAGCATGTAAGGATGTAAATAACTCTATTTCTAAGTTACAATTTATTACATAAAGTCAAATTATTAGGTAACATTATTAGATAATATTATTAAATTAGATAAATTATAAAAAATATTACATCATAAAAATAAATAAGACATCAACTCAAAGTGTAATTTCTGTGCCAAAATTACTGTATTCAAACAAGTTGCACATTAAAGGTGGGGTAAGCGATTTTTTAAAAACACTTTAGAAAACTGATTTGGGCTGATTAGCAAAACAAACTTGTAGCCAATCAGCAGTAAGGGGCGTGTCTACTCGTGACGTGGAGGAGAGAGCGTTCAGTCCGAGCCGAGCGACAGAAAGATAGAGATGGCGGATAAAAAACAAAAGAGGAAAACGTCTGAGGAACAAAAGAAGGCTTAAGGCAATAAGGCAAGGAGTAGGACCCGTGTAAATATCGGATCAGCTTTCCAGCGCTGGAGAGAACTCAAGAAGCGGAAGGTCTGCGATCGGACGCCGAGGTTGCTTTGTTTCTTCTCGATAGGTGAGTAACACAGTGTCTGCGCCACAACAGCTAAAGTCTGTCGCGACAAAGCGACCATTAAAAATAATTTGAAATTTGTGTCAATACGTCATGAATAGAACGCAGCAGCAGTTTTCTGTCAGGGATTTGTTGTGTCGTGTGGCTGCTGAGCAACACACAAAGTAAACAAAGGTGTATGTTTGTAGAGTAATTTACAACAGCTTCGAACGCGGCTCAGCCAATCAGAATCAAGGACCGGAACTCAGTGCATGTTTCTAATAAGTCTGCATGTTTGGCGTGTCTCTGTGTGAACGAATGCTGCAGTTTCGTCTTATACACAAATAGCCAACATGTGAGGCTCACTGATTTCTGCATTTTAATATATGAGGACATGAACACATGAACTTCAGTCTCCAGAGCTGCTCTGAGAGTCTCTTTACTTGGTTACACCGTTTAATTTGAGAAAAAACTACCGTCAAATACACACTGAAACTGAAAGTAAAACTATCGTCAAAATAAAAGTCTGGTTTAACTTTAAGAAATTATTAGAGAAATATACTACTACTGTATAGCCTAGTAACATATAATTCTCAAAGTAATAATAATAATATTTTTGAGGAATATCACACAGCCAAGGTATTTTTTCATCAGTTTATACAGTTCTGTTGTGCAGCATCTTGCTTGACAATAAAAATGCAATGTTTTTTTGTAAATTAATTTCATTTGATTACATTTTTAAATAATGATCAAACTGTTCAAGTTTTACTAATTCATTTCATTAGACAACATTTTTCAAACATGTGGAATTTCCTTCCCCATTAACAGTAGATGAATACTGCAATACATATCGATATTTATAGAACTATCATGATAATATTTTTGGCCATATTGCCCAGTCCTAAATGGATATAATTTTACACAAACAATGTTATTAAGCAATTTGACCACATTAGACTCTTGTTCAAGCACAATTTTACATATTGTGTCAATTTTAGCCTTGTGGCTATATTTCTGCCTGCATAAAAAACCATGAGATTAGTTTATACTGGTCAAAACTTAATCAACATCATACCACAGATGCATTATGAAACATTCCCTGAATGTTTCAACAATGTACCCAAATGAACCCTAAACACTACATTATTATACTGTAGGCCAATTTTCATTAAACTCGTGATGAGATGTATTTTATAACATCGCTGAGTGATCCAATGATGAAAAAGATGCTGATTCAGAGGGAGAAACATTGTGCCTGATGTGTTTGTGTCTTGTGAAGGCAAAGATACAAAGATAGACACAGAAAAAGAGAAGTGAGACACATTTGAGAATGACCTTCTTATAGTCTGCGATATAAATTGAGCACCAGAGCACCACAGTTTACCACAGACAGGTTTTTGCACTTCACTGTTTCTTGTTTTGTTTTCCATGTGTCCATCTTTATCACACCACCTCTACCGCCTACCTGTCCTGCTGTGTCCAAGATGTCCAGGTTTGCTGGCTCATCGTCTATGCGGATCTGTGTTTTATAGGCATCCTCTAAAAACAGAAAAACACATGCATGGAGGTTGATGAGAGGACACAACAACATTAAACAGCTTAACAGAAAAAAAGCCCTAAAATGGGAAGAGACATCAGTGTTATATTTAGGGCTATATTTAGTAAATACACACACTACCATTCATTATTTTTAAAGGATGCATTAAATTAAAAGACATTCAATTAAAATGTAAAGACTTTCAAAATGTTACAAAAGAAATTCTATTTCAAATAAATGCTGTACTTTTCACCTTTTTATTTATCAAAGAATCTTATCAAAAAACATCCCAGTTTTCATAAAAATATGAAGCAGCACAATTGTTTTCAACATTGATTATAATCATGTTTCTTGAGCAGCAAATCTGCATATTAGAATGATTTCTGGATCATGTGACACTGGAGACTGGAGTAATGATGCTGAAAATCCAGCTTTGATCACAGGAATAAATTACATTTTAAAATATATTACAATAGAAACCAGTTATTTTAAATTGCAATAATATTTTGCAATATTACTGTTTTACTGTATTTATGATCAAATAAATGCAGCCTTGGTTAGAATTAGACACTTCTTTAAAAAACTTTAACATATATTACAGACTCCAAACTTTAGAATGGTGTGTGAGACAGACACAACACCTGACAGTCTCAAGAAAAATCAATGAAAATAGATTAAACATGTAAGTACATAAAGCATGTAAGGATGTAAATAACTCTATTTCTAAGTTACAATTTCTTACATAAAGTCAAATTATTAGGTAACATTATTAGATAATATTATTAAATTAGATAAATTATAAAAAATATTACATCATAAAAATAAATAAGACATCAACTCAAAGTGTAATTTCTGTGCCAAAATTACTGTATTCAAACAAGTTGCACATTAAAGGTGGGGTAAGCGATTTTTTAAAAACACTTTAGAAAACTGATTTGGGCTGATTAGCAAAACAAACTTGTAGCCAATCAGCAGTAAGGGGCGTGTCTACTCGTGACGTGGAGGAGAGAGCGTTCAGTCCGAGCCGAGCGACAGAAAGATAGAGATGGCGGATAAAAAACAAAAGAGGATCGGACACCGAGGTTGCTTTGTTTCTTCTCGATAGGTGAGTAACACAGTGTCTGCGCCACAACAGCTAAAGTCTGTCGCGACAAAGCGACCATTAAAAATAATTTGAAATTTGTGTCAATACGTCATGAATAGAACGCAGCAGCAGTTTTCTGTCAGGGATTTGTTGTGTCGTGCCGCGCCGCATCCAGTGTAGACCATAGATATGTATATATATATCTCTATGGTGTAGACATTATCACTGATTATAATGAGCTCTATAGTATTTTGTCGCGCCGCTCACGTCTGGTGTAGACATGGTGTAACATTGGTTGGCACTAATCGTTGTCTGGGTTGTGTACGTATGTGTGAGGCGGAGCTATCAAAATAGGGGCGAGACCCTTTTGGGGTAGGGGCGTGTTTGTTTTGGTGATTTCAAATGTCAACATTGGCTACCAGAAATCACTTACCCCACCTTTAAAGGAATAGTTCATCCAAAAATGGAAATTTGCTGTAAATGTACTCACCCTCAGGTCATCCTAGATGTAGATGAGTTTGTTTGTTCATGGGAACAGATTAGGAGAAATGTAGCATTACATCACCTGCTCAGCAATGGATCCTCTGCAGTGAATGGGTGCCGTCAGAATGAGAGTCCAAACAGCTGATAAAAACATGAAGTGAACATCTCATGAAGTGAAAAGCTGCATGTTTGTATCACTAAGGAGTTTTAACTTTAACTTTTTAACTTTTGGTGAAAATATGAGTGCATAATTCATAATAACGCTTCCTCTAGTGAAAAATCTATCCGTATCTGTTGTTCTCTCACATTAAAATCCACCAACATATTTGTTTATAACTTTTGGTGAAAATATGAGTGCATAATTCATAATAACGCTTCCTCTAGTGAAAAATCTATCCGTATCTGTTGTTCTCTCACATCAAAATCCACCAACATATTTGTTTAGAGCTGTTTTGGACTCTTCACACTTGTAAATAGTGCTTGGTCTGTTCAGACAAGATGACTTTTTTTACTGAAGGAAGCAATATTAGATAGATAGACAGACAGACAGACAGACAGAGAGATAGACAGATAGAGAGATAGACAGATAGATAGATAGATAGATAGATAGATAGATAGATAGATAGATAGATAGATAGATAGATAGATAGATAGATAG